TTAGAGAGGGGGGATACTTACTTATTGAACGCCCCTCGTAACTACGGCTTATTTGCTCCAGAAAATGTCTTAGTTTTTACGTGATGGGAAACCCGAGACTCCCCACAAGGTGGCAACATCGTATTAGATTGTCGATGACAAAACTTCGGATTTGGCGCTATATTCCGATTGGAATGAATTGTCAGATCAAAGCACTTCTTGTTCTGCTGTCGCGAGACCGCATGAATGCAAAATGAGGGAGGTTAGTAATAGTTAAAATCGGGGTCTCATCATTAGCCAAGTTTTCCTGCATAGATTAGAGTAAACAAGAGAATTGCACTTCGTAAATTACAAAACATTAAATTACTAGCGCAGAAAAAAAGCACGAAAAAAAAACAAATAAAATAAAATTGCTGATGTAACAATAATGTAGTTTAAAAAAGGGTCTGACATGTCTTAATGTAGATTTTACGATAAAAAATTGCTGATTTAACCACCCCCGAGGTTGAATTGGACGTATTTCTATCAAACAGAACTAAGCGCCACAGGGGGAGAAGGGTAGAGGGGGGCTTGGATTGGTGGTGAAACCGGGCGTCGGGCTCATTCCGTCCTATACTCGCAACGCTTTTCCATGGCGCTTAGTTCCGTTTGACAGAACGAGCTATCCGGCATTCTAAATTCCTGAAAAGTATCTCAAATTGGCGCTTAGTTCCGTTTGACAGAAATACGTCCAATTAGCTTTCTCTCATGTAAAATTTGAAACATATCGGACAATTTCTTCAACCATTTAATCGTTAAATCAGCGATCGATTTTTTTGCGTGAGGGCCGTACATTCGGGAACTTTCAAAGGTGCCATGAACTCCTAGGAAAAGTGATGATCTTACAAAAAGAGCTCTTTCCTCTTCCTAGTGTTTTAAAACTTCCATGCAATTTCACATAAAAAGACGACGGAACTAAGTAGCAGCCCTCCGATGAAGCAAATGAGTGCGATCTGAATGTCCTTGATGGAGGATGGTCTCCAATACGCGCTATCCTCGACCGAGATACTCGGCAGGTCGGCGTCAAAATCTCTCAAGAAATTCCGTTTAAAGGTAACCAGTATCCCGGCCTCGAAGTACTTGTTGAGGAAGGCGTTGAACTCGGAAAAAGCGAACGTATGACTCGGCGAGAGATAGAAATGAGGATACGTGATGAGACACTCCTCCATGCAGTGGTACTCGCAGTATTCCTCCGTATCGCCGGAAAAGAACCACCTGCGGCCTTCCATCTGGGACGGCCGGATCGACGCAAAGGCATCCGATTTCATCGCCGCCCTTATATTTTTCTCTGCGGAGGACTTTGACAGTCGGATAAGCTCGACTGTCTTGTTGTTCAAAGGGTGGGAGTAACCAAGGGTATAGTTGATGTTGTAGATCCACTCAGAGGATAGAACTTCGGAGGAGAAGTAAAAGCTATCACTGAGGCGTTCTAAGAGCCAGTTGAAAGTGGAATCCGCGGTGAGGAACCTAAAATCCTGGCTCCTTTGGGCCGTTTGCACCAGATGACCGCTGTCCTTCAGATTCTCCATCGTGTTGACGTCAGCAAAGCGAGGCTGATGATTGGTGAGCGTTACCATTCTACTCTGAAGGAGAGTCGTCAGTATCAAAGCCGAGAAGATGAAGACACAGAATAGGATCTTCCCGGATGTAGGCCTTCCTAGGAGGAGGCGTGGCTGCGCCTCGCCCAAAAAGTACCGGTATATGGTAAGGAAGCTAGACAGATTCTCATACTGGGTGAGCTCCGCTTCTGTGTACAGTCTCGGTTGTCGCAGTTGTAGTGACGTGTGATAGTGATGCACGGTCAAAGAGACGGCAATTGTGACCAGGATGCAGAACTAGACGGTGGGACTGAAGCTCTTGAAGACGGCCAGGTAGGGCGGCTTGAACCCGCGCCGCGGGACGAAGATGCACACGGACCCGTGGTCGGTGGCGACGGTGGATCTGAACTTGACGTCGCCCCACCTCAAACGCGCGTTCATCTCGGTGAGGATGAGACTGGCGTCAGACCACAGCGCCAGGCGGGTGTCAGGTATGATGTCGACGTCAGGCACGCTGATCACGACGTTGGCTGCAGAGCGGTGCTTCGCGAAGTCCCCCAGAACGTAAAAGATAATGTTCGACCACAAGGCGTAGCCGGTCCGGATCTCGAGGACATTCGCGTTGCTGTCCAGGATGTAGCTGAAGAGTGGGGCGCCGTTCATGTTGCGCCAGGAGAAGTCGAAGTAGTTCTCCCCGGAGGCGCCGGTGAAGTACTCCATCCGGTCGAAGAAGGCGTCGTAGCGGTAGCAGGTCGCCCCCGCGCAGATCACAGTTCGGCGACCTTTGTACACGTGCCAAGCGAGTCGCAGCGCGAAACGGATATCGCAGTTGGACCCCGAGGCCTCGCCTGCGGCGAAGATGAGGAAGTTATCCGGGTTCCAAACTTCATCATACACATTGCCCCTGATGAGCCAATAAAGGCCAGCGGCCAAGGGAGCGCTGTCCAGGGAACGCTCCCGTAATGAAGTGATATTCATGTCGCAAGCCCTATTCCTGTCCCTCAAGGTGAGCGTGCCAAGACCAAGGCAAACGTTAGGAAGAATGCCTTCGTCCAAGGGACGAGAGTCGTTAAAACTATGATCGACTGAACGGGGTTCACTTACGTTCTTGAAGTGGTTGATCATGGAGCCGAACATGAAATTGAGTACGTCGCTACAGTCGTTCAGGATGAAAATTATGTTTTTCACGTACTCGTTTCCGATGCAGGTATGGAATTTGTGGGGACGGTCTACTGTGACTGTGGCTATGTCGTTGTCGTGGAGATTGCGGATGAGCCGGGCGTGGTTAATATTTTGGTTCAAGTTAATCACGTAAAAGAGGTCCATTTTGGAGCGGATTACTGAGTGGATGCATACGTTAGACAAAAAAGTCTCATAGTCTGTATGATTGTCAAAAAGGGATACTTTTTCAGAAGTTAAGACGCGCATTGTGTAAAAAAGTATGCACAATTTAATAAATTCCATTTTGAGATAAAAATCTTCGACAAAACTACGATAAAACTGTTCAAGACTCCAGTATTCGAATCGGCGAAACTTCATAAGTCCAAGGAAAGAAGTATTCTTCGGTGTCAAGGTTACATTTTGCTTATTCTCTGATAAACTGACTTTGTGGTGAGGTTTAGTAAACAAATATCTTCAGACAAGAGTCCTCGGTGCTTGTGTTTGAAAGTTCTTTGCTGGTTGTACGTCTTCCGTGATGTATGCTTGAAAACTTGAGTCACTATCATGACTTACACCAAGAATGAAGAATTCAAATAAAATGTGACGTCCGTTTAGACTTGACCAATCACTTGGTATTTGTACATCCTAAAATGAGGAAAGTCAGGTGAGATATATTTTTCCTGAACGTGGAGGTGAGGAACCCTAACTTTTTTTTCGAAGACTCCACTAATCTATCGAAGGAAAGGCATGTTCACGTACAAAATTAATACTCATAAGAAAAATATGGCTATACTGCACTCAGCGAAAGAAACGTACACAAACATGGAAAAAGAGACAAAATAAGACACGTGTTGAAAACAAAAACATTCAAGTTTTCAAGCACTTTTAACGGAAGGTATAGAAAGAAATCAGGCATTGTTAAGGGTTTTTTTTGTTTATTTCAAGACTTCCTCTCTTAATCATTTCACAAACCATCTCACTGGTATTTATTTCACTGAAAATATCATTCTATCATCGAAAATTCCGCAAAGGATTTTCATACTTACACATTAATGAGGTTGTAGTCAAAAATAAGAAAAATCTTAATATTGCAATGTGAGATACAACGATTGATCATGTACACCTGGGCAATGTTTATTAAACTTTTAATGTGCGATGCTATATATTGATGGCTTAAAAGTAAAACCCTGTATTTCTAATTCAACGCTCTAAAATTTTCACTCTTGCTCGATTTTTCGAAAGGAAACAAGCCAAATTTATGGATTGAAATTTATTTATAATAATCTGCTAACACAGAGAAAAAATTTAAAACTGTTCTAAAATGTTCAAAAAAAAAATTACGCCGGGCAGTTTTCCAAACAAATAAATAAAATATAGCATGACAGGAAGTCTACACCGTAACAAACTGTGATATGTGATTTCGAAATTTGCCCATCGAAATGTCGTAGAAAATTAGCTATCGCCAGCTATTCACAACTTTTACGTTAATTAAACCGTAAAATTCAGAGACGTAGAGTTAGAAGTCAGTACTAATTATTTTTACTTGATTCGAAATAGATTTCTCTTTGTCTTTAAATGCATGGTAGTGATTGCGTGCTCCGTGTAGTGAAACCAGTGACCTCAGTTGGGCTCCGGTCGGACAGGCAACTAAACTAACTGCGTGACAAAGCGTAATGTATCACGGTAAAATGAAGGCACTCTAAGTCAATTTTGTGCTTTCAGAGGCATTTATAAATGAAACCCTCGTATTATACTAGTGCAGATCATCGCAATTTGCCTTGACAATATGTAAGTAAGCCGCTTGCGAATAATCGGCAGTTGCTGATGGGTTAGTAGTGCCGGTCACGGAATCGTGTTTTGATGCTTGATTCGTGTAGATTTGCTGAAGATCCGTCCAAACAGCAACTTTCTACATTGAATATTAACTAACATATCGCGATTTGACAAATTCGGTTTATGACGTCATCCACCGCGGTAGTGACACCCTTGGTGTAATGAAAGCAAAGTTGAAGAAACCAAGGGTGTCACTACCACGGATGCTTTCGTCTTAAACCGAATTTTTCAAATCGCGATAATTCGGTTGATTTTGAACGTAGGAAGTTGCTGTTTGGACAGATTTTAATATTTTTCGCTGATTGACAAGAATCAGCATCAAAACATAATTCTAAGACCAGCGCAACTGACCCATTCCCTGCTACACATTCACCAAAAATGACTCGAAAACTCTGTTTTCAAAATTATTTTCTCAAGTTTAAAGTATAATATCATGATTGTGGAGCTTACCTAATATTCCTAGTCTAAAATTAAGGGTAACGACGATGAGGTTGCCGTAGCTTGCCAGAGAACTTCCGTCGTACGGGTTTCCGGAGTTCCACTCATACGACTCTCCGTGGATGTAAACGATACACGGCAGGCCGGTTTCCTCTCCCTCGATTGGGGTATCTGCAACAATTCAAAAATGTAACAATTTTATTATTTCGGCAAAAGACGGCTAGACCATCATTACCTGAATAAAATGGGTCCCTTGCAAGCAAGAGATACAACCGGCTGAATACAATTTTTAAGGGTAATCCTTCTTTATTTGAAATTAGACTCTCCATGCTGAAAGAAAGAGAGAGCGAATACATTCGCAGAGTTGCCGTGGCTGTAGCCTCGTAGTTCCGATAGAGACCCACCCCTCCCTCCGCGCTCGAAACCGTTTCACCCCTTAAAAATTACGTGACGCTCAGTTCAACCTCCCCGTCTTTTAGCGATTTGTGATACATTTTCGATGAAGAATTGCCACCCCGCGTGGATAATTTTTCATTTTCGATTTTCGAAAAATCCGACGCCAAGCGCTAACGCTGGCGTTGCAAATCATTGATTTAAACGACGCTCATAACGCAACCGCGACGCATTGCGCCAAACAGTGCGGTCGGCGTTAAACGCATATAAGCGCCTACAAGCCTGCATGAATACTTCTCGCATCGCACCAAATGCAATGCAAGAGTTATTTGAGATAACTATTCGACCACGGGTGTAGACATATTGCCGCTAGCCGGATTGAAGGCGCGTCACTCTGCGGAGATGACTGGACTCCTTTATCTCTGATTGCAACGTTATGCACCGATGCAAATGTTTTATTTTTGATAGCCGTGTGTGTAATTTTTACACGTAGTTTTTCTAAAGAGTTTCCACGAACTTTCCTAAACGATTTCAAATATCAAGAGAATTTTGACGCAATATTTTCGATCGTTCTAATCTATTTTTTTCAAATCAGGAAAAAATTTAACATCATCTGAGTCTCTGAATTTGTGTAGTATTTCCCCTTTAATTATCGTAAAAACTGAGCAAAGAGTGAAGACTACTGATGCGTGGTCCTAGTTTTACGGTGATTTTAACGTCGCACGGTGGATCGAGTCAATCAGAGAGGTCGGACATGAAATTTTTGACTAAAACCGTAAATTTCTATGTTTATTTCGTCATATTTTAAAATCCAAGGAAGGCCTCCAGTCGAAAATTTCACGAGAAAAATAATGGAACCACTTTTAGAACTTCAAAATTTTGTTTAAGTGGAGTTATAAGCGTTTTAAGTTTCCAAATTTTGTCTGACCTCTTTTATTGACGCGATCCATTGTGCGTCGCGCGAGCTAGAGAAGGGAATGATGTGGAGTCATCTTCGCAGTGTGACGCGCCTACAATCCTACCAGCAGCAATATGCTTACACCCGCAGTCGAATACTTATCCTTCCTAGAGCGTAACGCATTCTATGGACCTAATTACTCATCGGATAAAATATTTAGATCGCGGATCCCCGAGGCATGCAAATGCAGGGTGGCATGAAATGCAAGAAAACGATGAAAGATTGGAAATTTCCGTGAAATATTTCATATTTTTCAGGGGCTAGGGTATGCAACCTGCACTCAAACACAAAAATTAGGAGAAAGCCACAATGTTCACATTTTGCGAAACATGAAAAGGAACCGGTATTTTTAAATATATGTCATACATTTCTGAAATTCCATGAAACATTTCACTGGAAATTTCAAGACTTTATTTTTCGTGAGACTTTGCCACTCTGTGCAAGGGCCTTACGAATCACAAATTTTTGTGAAATTTTTCGAGGGGTCAAGCAGAAAAATTAGGAGAAAGCCACAATTTTTACATTTTGCGAAACATGAAAAGGAACCGGTATTTTTAAATATCTGTCATAAATTTCTGAAATTCCATGAAACATTTCACTGGAAATCTCAAGACTCTATTTTTCGTGAGACTTTGCCACCCTGTGCAAGGGCCCCACGAATCACAAATTTTTAAGAAATTTTTCGAGGGGTCATGATCGGTAGGGTTCGGCAACGGCGCGCCGAAATTGGGTCGAAAATCGTTGAGTGGGCCACAAAAGATAAATCACCGGGCGCTATTAACGCCATTTACGCGGCGTATTTTAATTTACACGGGTGCTTAAGTGCTTCATCAGACGGCTTCATCACGACGCCCGATTAATTTCTTCGCGAATTTATTACGAGCCGAGCCTGGCGGCCCCAAGCCCCTGTTTTACATTGCGCCCTCGGCAGACATCCACTTTAATATTTCACCGTGCGGTAATTGCCGCAGCACTCCGGCCTATCCCGCAGTGACCACCCCCCGCCCCCCGTTCCCTTTCTCCCCCTAACCTCTTCCACGGACGATTCCCCGGATTTCCTCGAGAAAATAACGCCCACTTTGAATCACCAGACAAGGTACGAATCTCAGCATTTTGATACATGTTTCTTAACCAGATACACGTAGAACATGATTTCGCATCAAAAATTACTGAAATCAACTTCTAAATGGACGTATTTCTGTGAAACGGAACTAAGCGCCAAGTTGAGTTCCTTTTGAGGAATTTAGGATCCCGGATAGCGCGTTCTGTCAAACGGACCTAAGCGCTATGGAAAAGCATTGCGAGTATAGGATGGTATGAGCCCGACGCCCGATTCCGCCGCCAATCCAAGCCCTTCTCTACCTTCCTCTTAGAAGTAGAGAAAAGTGATTTTATGGAAGAGCCAAAGATAGTGGTTCCTTATTGCAAAATGTAATCCAATTGTCCATAAGGAAATATTGAATTCCCGAAGGTGAAAGCTTCCACTTGTCGACAAGAGGCCAGTGGAGGGTCTCTTGTTTCTCTTAGTGAGTCAGTGACGTCAGAATGTGCAGATTTGCACAGACAATTTATAAAATAAAGGCAGTGTAATTAGTCGAAAGATAGATAGACTCACTCCCACAGGGGGAATTTCTTAATTTATTTTTTTGCTTAGCCTATATGAGTCTGGACTAGATAAGTGCGCATTTGAGCTTAAACAACTCTCATGAGTAAAGCCTTTCCGGGATAAGTAGCAATGCGAGACAAAAATATTCGCTGAGGCATAGTTCATACGAGGGCATAACACTAACACATACACACACCCGCACCCATACAAAGAAAGAGTTCTGCACTCGAACCCAGAACGTCTCGACATATCAATATCACTAACAAGCGTGGAAGTTTCTCCTCAGCCCTGGTTGTAGGTGCTTCGGGAAGTTCGCTAATAGCTCTAAAGCGGCGTAGCGTAGACAGACAGGAAAACTTTCACACTCTTCTGTCACTCGTCCAGGAAGAAAACATGTCTTTGGTGAAAAGTTGGCGCACTATGATGCAATCAGCGTCGCCAAGTTTATGAAGTTCTCAAGATTTGCTTGCCGAATCTTGAATTGAACTTTTTCGTGAGAAACGGCAACTCTGGAAGCAATGCCTAAACAGGCAGCTCAAAGAGTACGGTTTTTTTATTCGTAAAGTAAAGTATCATCAATTGTCATAAACCAAATTCAAAGGGAAGGATCAATTTCAAATGTTTCAAGAAACTGAGTGAAGAATACTTTTGAGTTCAACAGTACATTTAATTTCCTGTGGTTAACAATCCCTTATCGAGAAATAATTTTTGGAGATGGAAAAATGGATTGAACTTTATTTTCGTACATAGAGATTTATTTCTGAGAATAAAATTTGGAACCTTCCTAGCTCGTTCCAACTTGATGTCACTTAATCCACAAACGAAAAATACTCGAAGATCAGGAACAAGGTCCATTCAGAATTTTTTCCGGAAATCTAGCTGATCAGATGGACATATCCAACCAAAATCAGTCTAACTGTATTTCATGTTGCCTTACTCTCTCTCATATTTTATAATTTTTTTCTCCTGAGTTCCAAATTGTTTACAGCTTTTTAACTGTCTGTTTTACCATAATTGCGAAAAATACGCTAAAACAATTTACAATTTCAGTGTTGTTAAGTTCTCTGATTAAAAATTGAATGATCAGAGAAAATACGGCAATGTCTCCTGTAGTTTGGCCAATCCCGGTTAAATTTTTCAAAACATATATTTTCCTGGATGTATCTTGACGGTGTAAGTTGGCAATCACATAACTCGGTTTGCGACGTCGCAGACTTCCTGTCATACTTTATTTTTTAAACGGAAAACTACTCCACTACTTCCTACTCCGGAAAGCCCTGATTTTTCTTCTCTGTGCGAAGAAAATTCTGCAGGAACTTCAAGGAATGATGTCAATTGGTTCTCTTGAACAGAGAACGAACAGAGGCGAAAATTTTCAGACACCGCGAACGAGATATGTAATTGCGGACTTACGCCGTCGATCTGCATTTTAAACTGTCTCAAAACCAAGTAAATTAAATCCACTTAATCCAAAGTCATCGCTAACATTTTTCGATCCATTACCGAAGAAATCAAACCACCGAGGACAGATCCATTAAACCCACGAAAAAAGAACTCGAATGGGGGGAAAATTCCCTCACTCGGCGAACTAGCCGAGAGTCAAACTACCCCTATCGCGTACGCAGACACGCTCCGCTGTTCTCGAAAACCGAGCGAATTCAACTCAATTTAAAACGCTCGGAACTTTTAATTGCTGCTGTTGCTTTCCCGGCGATACGCTGCATTGCTGCGATTCAACTCCTTAATCTACGAGCAGATTTCGCTCAAGATGTTGTGATTTCGGGGAACTTATGCGAATTTCCCCGAACCGATTAAGCGTGCGGGCGCCAACGACGCCCCCGCAAACGGCTACACTGCTCCGCGACCCCGATACCCACTTAAATTGCGCTAAGCAAGAGCGGAACACCGGTGTAATCACGATCAATTTAATCTGAGGGGATGAGGAAAAAAAAGTGAGGGAGTAGTCGGGAGGAAAACTCACCCCCGGGATTCGACTTCGCTGTGCTGGAGGATCGAGTGGGGTAGTTCGAGGCGGGGGCGACGAGGGGGAAACGGGAAGCAGTCATGAAAAGAATCTGGGAAGTTGATTCTTCAATCCTTCTAATCTGTTTCTCAATAGGGCCGATCGTTTAGGTTTAAATTATGGAATTTTATTTAGAGCTCAGAATGAAGCATTGAGCCCAGAGGAACAATATGGATTGCATTTTGCAAAAA